AATCCTTCAATCATGTCAAAGCCATCATGTAGTTGAATCACACAGCTGTGCATTGCATTATTACATATGCATTGACATCACCAACTGTATGTTCTTTATTAATGCTGGGCTCTTCCAACATGGCACCTCATGCACCAAAGCAGCAAGCTGTGTGTCTGTGTCTTTCATTCTATTCTGTCTAGAGGTTATTTTGAAGCACAGGACATTACACCTCCACGTACGTATGGGGGCGGGCTGGCTGGCTGTCCACCAGGCCCACTGGTTACATGTACGTGTAAAATACGCTTGGCATTGTGCACGTCTCTCGGACTGTACCATTTGTGATAGTGTTGTCATTTTATTCATATTTAATAAATTGGGAAAACTCCGAATGATTGGTGTAAACAGTTGTCAGTCCAAAATAAAAATGAGGAAAGAAAAGTGTGAGGATTTTATTTCAGAAAAATCTACAAATGGGTTTGAAATGTGAAGTGCACATTCAAAATCTCGTAGCAAAACACCCCTTGATTTTGGAAGTTGCTAAAGCTGCATAACACCGATAGCGTAACCAAAGCTGGGAGCCAGTTTGCCTCGGATTTCCCCGTTTTAACAAAATAAAGGAAATTTGGTATGATGAGTTTTCTCAAGATGGCCAATACTATGACAACATGTAATAGCGGACACCAGCTTTGGAAAACGAGGGATACCACTAAGTGTTTGTCACCGCGATCAAGAAACTTTGTTTACACTTATCCGCTTAGACCACTATTCACCTGTGGAAGCATGGTGGGGGAAGCCGACGTGCAGACAGGCCTGATAGCGGCCTGGAGTAAGCTGAATACAGAGCGGGCTTCATACAGGGCGGGCTACCGGAGGACCCTTTTCAAACCAGGTCTAAATGGTCGCTGGCCCTAACTAATGGCCCATATGAGTATCATAGGGGGCCCAAATGGGCCAACATAGGAGTCCCACCTAGGGCCCCCATGGATTCTACATCTAAGAATAATATAGGTCCCATATGGCCCAGCCCATACGTGTGCCATTTGGGACCACAAGCGGGCTGCACCCAAGATTCATATGGGACCCATATGAGCCAGCCCAGATAACCCATATGGGTCTGTATTTAAAAAATAATATGGGTCCCATATGATCCAAGTATACCTGTTTGTGATAGTCCAGAAGTGGACATTTTTTTTTTCCGCCAAAAAGAAAAAGAAAAGCAAGTTGAACGTTTATATTTTGTGTAATTTCTCTTTCTCCGAATATGCTAATAGAAATACATGCTTTGTATTTAAATGTGCATGCTGCTTTTGAATTTATTAAAGTACATTACATGTAAGTTGTCATTACTAAATCTGCTACAATGTGAGTCTTTTTCAATCAAACGTGTAGGTTTTCATGAAGTGCAAAGACAGCCATAGCATCGATACGGTGACTGTTTGATTGTTTTAAATGATGCAAGGATTGAAAAGTCAACATAGTAGGTTTATGAAGTTGGCATTCGACCAAACATGTCATTCGGAGTGACAAAGTGGACAAGGGAGGGGACGGGCAGGGTAAAGGTCAGCCCGACGGATTTATGGAGTCAGCAAAGGGATCGGATGTGGCAGTCGGGGTGACGTAGGGTGGATGTAGGGGAGGGGTTGGGTAAAGGTCGGGCCGCCTGATTTATCAAGTCTGTCGATGGGCCTGAGGGAGATGTCAGGACAAAGAAGGGTGGAAGTAGGGAAACAAATTCTTATGGTAACCCACGCTGACTTCGGTTGAACGTCGAAAGTCGTCCATCAGTACGACGGCATAAACAGCAGGTTGGACAAATGCCGGCAGAGTAACTCCGAAAGACGTTGGGCCGTGGGTATAAATGGACCGTTGGTACAATGTCGGTCCAACATCCACCCAACAGCAAATTTGGACTTTGAGCCGAAGCCGGCAGGATTTGCAAATGCAACATTTACCTACGCTCTCCCGACATCATGTACTGACAAAATTCCAACGCCGGGCCAATGTCCCTGTGCTACCTGGGTAACATGATGTTAAAAAAAAAAGAAAAAAAAAAGAAGAAAACCGGGGAGACCTATTGTAATATGGAAAAGCTTGTCCAAAAAACGACTCAGCCAGTACAAACAGTACAAAAGTGTATTTCGTGTAGCTCGTGTGAAAAGGCAGTTAAAAATTCAAAGTGGATATACACTGAGCATTGAAAAAGTCTACGGATGTGTGTGATGGACATGAATAGGAAGCAAATTACAAGTGACAAGTTAAAAATGAAAATTGGAAAGAGAGTCTAAAGATCATTCCGGGCCCATTTCTGAAATGGGTAGCTTATTTTAAAACTGCGTAACAACTGGAGAGTCAACCTTGTGCTTATCGCAATAAAAAGGCCTCATTGAGTTGATCGCAAAAGTCTACTTCCTGCTGATTTTGACACATTGTAGGGGAATGGATCAACGCAATTATTGGGGAATAATTTCCTAATAAAATTCCCCTAAGGTGTTTACTGTTTGCATTTGGGAGTGCAGTTGGCCTATGGATGCAGCTGGAGAAATAAAAAACATGACAAAAAGGGGTTTCAAATTCATCTTATCTTCTTACAATTAACACAATCGCAGCCAGTTCATCGTGTCAGTGCTATATCGTTCCATAGATTGTCCTATTTGAAAACTTGCACTAAAAGCTATGTATTAGAAATATTGTTTAAACATGAATTTGGGTACGAAAAATTGGTTGAAATTTAAATATTCTTGCCCTAAAACCTAGTTTAAGAAAGTAACCCATTGCAATAAAATATTCCTTTCATACAGGATGAACATGCATACATGTACAACACCCACAGTGAAAACCCAGATCGTCACAGAGGATTTTGACGTAGTAAAGTCAAAGCTGCGGGCTCATGATGGGCGACGAAAGCATATCACTAAATCCTTTGCGCACGTCTCAGAAATCATGATGGAAATTCATCCGATCCCAAATTTGTTGCACGGTGGCCAATCGGCCAATCAAAATGTATGTTAAATACATGCCGCCATTACCAACGCTGGCCAAATTTTTAAGGATAAGATTTATCAATATAATTCTTTTTTTTTTAAAGTAAATAAATAATAAAACTTAGGCTTTTTTGGGGGGGGGGTTGAGTTATCATTGAGGATTTATAAATTCTGTTGCAGTGAATTTTGGGGGAGGGGGAAGCATTTTAGTCTTGAAGTGACTTAGACGGGACAGGATCGTCAGAAAATGGGCAAGAATGAGGGCCAGGTATTACCCCCAGAACTGTGGGATCCGACGTTCGCTCCTCTCCCACATGGAAGAGGAGCAGACGTCAGACCCACAGTTCTGGGGGTAGGCCAGGTATATGTTCCTTCATCTCAGAAAAGGTTTTGAGTTTCACCGAAAATTGCAGTTCGCCTTCTGAAAAACGGTAGACCCTAGACGGCCTGGTTTGCGGTATATATATCTGTAATCACAAACAATCAATTCCAAAATTATGTATCAAGGAATTCAAGACACAGTTTGTATTATTTCATGCCTCATTTTAGTGATGTTCTCCATGCATTTTTCGGTAGTTTTGAGATGTAAATTGCACATCTTTTGCAAATTTTTTATAATCTTCGGAGCAAAATTGAACTGTGGTTGAAAACTCTCGACTGATGGCTGCCAAATTTTCGGGAATTGACAGATATAGTCGTGAAAGAAAAGATCACCAAAGTACACGTACATGTACATTTAAATAAAATAACGTGGCTGTCGGTTCTGGTTTGTGCACGAACGCGGAGTTACTCAATCATTTACTGCTCGCAAACTCACGAGTGTTTACTGAGGACCCTGGCTCGTTACTCGCGAGTTCAACGAGGCCCCTCACGAGTTTTCAGAGAAACTTTTGGACTGCCCTATACTGTACACGCATACAAAAAACTGAACCGTTGCGTGTGCAGCAGTCCACTACACATTGTCAGTCACCTTTGCGGTCTGCGGTCACAAGCCCTGCCAAAATAATGAGTTTCGGGGTTAGGCTTATCGTGCATTGGACCAGCAATGCATGGTAAAACCGCGAAGCTTGTCTTGAACAGGATGTCAGGGTCACTGCTTGTGATAGCGTGTCGGCTAAAATTCTGACCTGTACAGTAGGCTGGGCATGGGTATGTAAAAGCAGGAGACTGAGCAGTATTTGAAAAATAACAGAAATTTTTTCTTAAAGTTATAATGTTTATTGCAACAACGTGGACAGACACTTTATTTCTTAAATATGAAAATTAAATTCAAAACACAATTAAACATTACCTTCAATGTATTAAATAGTCTTTTAGTTTACTTCTAGAAACTTTCATTATCTCATAAGTTAATGCCATTGTAGAAAACACTGAAATTTATTTCCAGAAAATGTGTAGCGTACTGGTACATGTATGTCACATGGACAGATATAATATATGTCACACGGACAGACATTTTTCTGGTGTTTGAATTAGAGCATGAAAACAGAATTGTTCACAAACCAAACGTGTTTGTTTTCAGTTTTCCAAATCATTTTTGTTAAAAAACTATTCAAAACTTCAGCTAAAATGAACACTGTATGTTTTTCTCAATGAGTAACATTTGTTACATGGACAAACGTAATGTTTGTCACACATCATAGCCTCGGGACAGATGGTCTTCTCACTTTCATTTCGGCAAAATAAACTGACTTTTCTAATAAACTGTTCATTATTTTTATTTAATTTGGTTTTGTAATAAATGCGTACGTATACTCATGAAGTTAAATCTTCTAAGATTTTTACATTTAGAGGAAAAAAATTGTTGTGACAAAAGTTACAAAATAGTGGATAGACGAGGATTGAAACATCAGGCCTCCACATTTTAAGATTTGTATTTTAGGTCATTGTAGTCAGCAAGCAGTTTGCAGCAGTTTTGTATTATATTTATTATAATGTTGCGTATCTGAGTTTTTTCAAAAAATAATGCATCATCACTATCGGTTTGTCATTAAACTGAGCTTAAAAGGGCTGTTGAGCCCATTTAAAACTACCTACCTATTTTCTCAATTCTGTTGGCTGCTAAATTCAGGCTACGAAGTTGAACAAGTGCACCAGTCCCCTAGAAACATCAAAAAATTTTGTTGAAAACTTGTAAAATGATCTAATAAATGGCATAATTTTGTTGTTGCATGTAATAAGCCTTTTGCAAGTTGACTTTGACCCAAATCTGGTACAATGAGTTCTTTAAATTCACGTGAACATAACAACTTGAATTCTCTTTACTAAAACCACTGTTGCTATACATGTACCTTGTGATTTGGGGCAATCTGTTGCTTAGTGTAGATACGTAAGTGACGCCTTGCAACAGTACACTGTTCTCAATGGATAAGAAGGGCACAAAGGAACCAGTCCATTCCAGAGATGGTGGTTGCTATGCGAAAGCTTGCCTGAATTATGAGGTATAGCAACAGTGTCTTTAGTCTGCGGAATTCAAATCGTTATGCTTATGTGCAGTCAGGTAACTCAGTAAACAAGATTTTATTCAAATTTAACTCGCAAATATTAAATTATTACACACAAATACATACCCACAGTTTACACAATACTCAGGTACTGTTCGCATATAAGTAACAATTTTTCATAGCCATAAAATGTTTGTTAAAACTACTACATAGTTTTCATCACCGACTTGGCTGCATATTACTTCATTTATTTGCTATACGCTCTAAGGATATTGCCTTTATTTAGCTCCATTTATTTGCAATTGCACCAAGGAAAACTAAATTTTTCAGCTGTTTTTATAATCAAAACCACTCAGTGAACAAATAAAGGCTTCCCTTGAAAAGGTACAAGAAAACAGCCAAAACCTCAGAAACTGAAATCTCAAGCAATCCATACATAAATTATGTCTAACATCGATAGCCTTTCGTGGATTGCTACAAAGGACAAGGCAGTGTTTTGCGAGTAACTATAATCGGAAACAACTTTTTCCTATTTGAATATAAATGGCAGTAAATAAGTTTTCACAGATCGCCCCCATCTCCAGATCATGAATCTACATGTAGTCTGTATTCATGTTGTCCATTGTTTGGCCTTGAATATTCATTCTAAAGCACACCACATTCCTGACACTAGGGCGTGTTTTAAAAGTGGTCATCATAGAAGTAACAAGTTACATGTAGCTGTGTTGCACCCAGGTAACTCAGAATGGAATCACCCCAGGGGGCACATTTAATTTACGACTCCAAAAGTTAACAACTGTAATAAAACACATCAGGCAAACACTGTGTGAGCTCTGAGCTGTGGTGTCGAGTCAATCTTACTCCCTCCTTTGATGTGCTCAATGATCATCCCCGCTCAGTCAGATGAACAATACTAAACATTCCAAAAATGCCTGATTACTGCCTGCAGCTTAGCCGGACAAGTGGGGCCAGTAATATCGTAACAATGTTTGTGGTGACCAGGAAGCAGAAAGAAAAAATATCTAACATTAGATTTACTTTTGCCATTTTTAATAATTTTTAAAGATTTTGATGCCCTTTTCCATTATCCATGCATTTGTTTGTAAATTTTATTTTGTCACTCCAAAACATCAGTTTTCAAAGTGTTTGCACGAGTTTGCCTAAGACTGGCCAACAATATGTTGAATACCACAGGACAATTAACGAAAAACAAAACACGCTGTTTCATCACAGGGAGTGACATGAGATCTCATAAAATACCTTTTTGCGTAAATTCCTTAATAAAAATGATTCAAATAAAACTAAAAATCTTACAAAAAGCTTGGCTGTTTATTCCAGAAAGATAACGGGAACAAATGCACATAAACACTTCAGGTATACACAGCCTAATAAAAGGAACTGTGCAAGTACTAAATTTGATATTGTTGTCATATATATCAAACACCAAAGATGGCATGAATATTCAACTTTCTATACTAGAGTATGTTATGATAATATAATTACATGGCACTGTGTTGTAGGTGCGCACACATGGCATGAACCAGGACCATGAACAAGCTAGCAGAAGCTATGCGCCCACTCGTCCTCATCATGCTTTATCCACTCCATATCACAACATGGTGGCAGTGGTGACAGAAAAACAGGCCCAAATTTAGAAAGCTTTCACTGAATAGGGACCGGGCTGCGAACATGTACCAAATCCGAGCCTGCGAAGGTGTTCTCGGAACACCGCCTGAACAGCCACTCCACCACGCACAGGACCAGCGTACACGGCCCCGGCTATATCTTGTGCGGTGACCTGGTGATGCCGCAGCTGGCCCGACCTGCCTGTCGACAGTCATCGAACATCGTCATTGTGCAAGGTGCACACACAGGGCACAGGCAAACTTTAATTAACAGATGATCCATTCCAGCCAGCTGAGTCAACCCTGGCTACACAGGCTCTCTGATTGAGCCAGCTGTGCCCAACCAGAATATAAACCCAGCCCTGCCCACCCGCAGAGAGGGACTTTCCGCAATCGACCATCGACCTGCAAGCCGTACCCTACCAGCCCAGAAAAGAGACCAGCCCTGTAGGCAGAGACGGGACTTTCGCCGATCAAGCTGTCAGTTCAGCTCAGCGAACCGTGCCTGACCAGGAGGGCCTCCAGAACGACCAGTGCCAAACCCAGGCCCAACCATCCCCTGCCCTGTGCACCAAGCCCGAGCTGCGGAAACACGGTCAGTGAGCTTCTAACGACCAACACTGCAATATTTGCACCTCACTATCTGAACTCTAAGTGACATTGCATCCACTGCAAATTGTTGTTCTCATGCCATAATAATATTGGTCGTATTAGTATTTGTGTAATCTAGGCGTACACGTGCCATATTACGGGCATAAATTTAGTGTAGGCTTAAAGTAGTTCCGTGTTGACGGAGATGTGGTGAAAATATCACTCCGGCGATTGCTGGAACTGTGCAGTATAGACTGGTCACAATGGCCAAATACCCGGAAATGCGTTGGAACGCACCAGATCTGACTGAGGAATTCAGACTGTTTAAATAACACATGGACCTTTGTTTAATGGACAATGAGGTGACTGAGGAGAGAAAAATTGCAGTTAAAATTAAGATAGCTGTAGGCAATGAGGACCTAAGATGCATAAATGGACAATGAGGTGACTGAGGAGAAAAGAATTGCAGTTAAAATTAAGATAGCTGTAGGCAATGAGGGCCTAAGATGCATAAATGGATAATGAGGTGACTGAGGAGAGAAAAATTGCAGTTAAAATTAAGATAGCTGCAGGCAATGAGGGCCTAAGATGCATAAACGCGAGAAGTTGAGGATCATTAAGATCCACACCATCAGTGCATCCCTAGAAACAGTGCACCGCGGCAAACATGTGCTCCATCCTGAGCCCCCCACAAATCAGTTGACGACCTTTCGCACACCGTTTGGTAGTTACTGCTTCCAGAGACTCCCATTTGGCTCATCAGTGAGCCAAGACATCTTCCAGCAAGCCATGGCCAACATCATCAATCAAGTCCCTGGATGTGTCCGAATTGCCGACGATATCACTGAATACGGACGTACAGCCGAGGCAGAAGGACTGGTCTTCAACAGCAAGAAGCGCCTGATCAAAGTTAACCAGATCAACTTCTTTGGATCGGTATATTCACCGACAGGCATTCGCCTTGACCCCGAACGAGTCGAAGACATCCATGCCGTACCAAGCTCCCAGGACAAAGAGGACCTCCAGGAATTCCTCAGGCTCATGACGTATGTGTCAGCCTACATACCAAGTTTTGCTGACAAAGTTGCACCTCTACAGGAGCTGCTACGCAAAAATGTCCCATACAAGTGGCAGGAAGACCAAGAGGCAGCGTTCAACGAAGTAAAGAAGTCCATTACTGACAAGTCGTGCCTCAGGTACATGTATTACAACCCCAAGGAACTAACCGTACTGGAGGTCGATGTGTCACAGAAGGGAATTGGGGTGTGCCTTCGGCAGGATGGCAAGCCGGTAGCGTTTGTCTCAAAAAGTTTGTCTCCTGCCCAAGCAAACTACTCGAACATCGAACGAGAGACCCTGTTCGGAAACACCTTCCATGCCCACACTCACCACAAGCCCTTGGTGATGATCTGTAAAAAGCCGCTGACCAGCACCCCACCACATCTTCAGTGACTTCTCATCAAGGTACAGGGATACAACTTCACCTAGAGCAAGGTCTCCTGCCCAAGAGTCAGTGTGGCTTCAGGAAAGAATGTGGAATGATCGACATGGTGTTTGCGGCAAGACAGCTCCAAGAGAAGTGCCAGGAACAGAACACTGACCTGTTCTCCACATGTCGATCTAACCGAAGTGTTTGACACCGTCAGCAGAGAGGGCCACTGGAGAATCATGGGAAAGTACAGATGCCCCAGAAAGTTCACAGCCATCGTGCGTCAGTTTCATGAATCATTGACAGTGGTGAATCATCAGATCCCTTTGCAGTGTCCAATGGAGTGAAGCAGGGCTGTGTCCTTGCCCCGACCCTGTTCAGCCTCATGTTATCGGCAACGCTAACTGAAACCTTCACCGACACGGACACAGGCATCGGCATCAGATGGTGTTTTGATGGCTCTGTCTTCAACCTCAGGAGGCTCCAAGAGAAGACCAAAGTCCAGTCAGGCACCATCAACGACTTCCTGTTTGCTGATGACTGTGCCCTCAACCCTGCCTCTGAAGAGGACATGCAACACAGCGTTGACCTGTTCTCCGAGGCCTGTAACAACTTTGGCCTTACCATCAGCACAAAGAAAACAGAAGTGATGCACCAGCCTGCACCAGGAAATGCCTACACAGAACCTAACATCACCGTGAATGGCCAGCGACTGAACGTGGTGGAGAAATTCATCTATCTTGGAAGTTCGCTGTCTTGGAATGTCATCATCGATGACGAGGTGAATGCCAGACTGGCCAAGGCCAGTGCTGCTATTGGCAGGCTCTACAGCAATGGCTGGAACAGGCGGACATCACTACAGAAACAAAGATCAAAGTCTATGGAGCAGTATTCCTCACCACCTTACTGTATGGGTGCAAGACATGGACTGTATACCAGCGTCAAGCAAAGAAACTGAATCGTTTCCACACTACCAGCCTTAGAAAACGTAGATTGTAGATTCCGTATGTGG